ATTCGATGCGGTTGGAATGCCTTCAGAAGACTTCAATATATCCTTTGCAACAGAACGGTTCCCCTCCCATTGAAAAAGCAAGCATTCGACTCCTGTGTAACCCCGACCGTACTCTATGGAGCGGAAGCAAGGTCCTTAAGGAAATCTGATATTAGAAGTTTGTGCGTAGCCCAAAGAAAGATGGAAAGGAGGATGCTCGGATTGCGCATGCTGGACCGATGGAGCTGTGAAAGGATCAGAGCACTCACGAAAGTCAGAGACTGGATAAACGAGGCTTCAAGAAGAAAACTCATATGGGCTAGAAAGATACGTGAAATGAACGAAAACGTATGGGCTCGCGTGATCACGACATGGATTCCATATGACTACGTGGACCGAAGAAGGAGAGGACACCCTTGTATTCGAAGGCGCGATGAATTGTCGAAGAAGATCGGAAAAACGTGGTGGAGTATGACGAAGGAAAGTTCAATGAAGCCATGATACGGCATTTGAATATGAATTGATTCCGTAATAAATAGTAAAGTGTGTATTTCTTGAAGCAATTTTTCGAAGCGTGAAAGAGAAAAAAGGGAAGGTGGGGGAAGGAGGGTGGGGTGGGGGGCATATAAAGAATTGAACGGAACTGCGATCGGTCTACTTTGTGGAAACAAGAGTCCAATAGACATGATTGAAGGCTGAATTTTTCAGTGGACATCTATGCATTTCCAGGGAATTCGCCTAATAAAGCACATTTTTCGCTCCTATGTTCTCAGTTGAGCCTCGGGTGCGTCGACTGATCGATTTTTACCCTTTGTTCTGGGCCACAATAGAAGCGAAAAATGTGAGGGATTCTCCTAGTGCTTCTGCCTAGTTTATACGATTCAGAGGTTATGCGGTTATCGGATCTGCGTGAGAGATGATCGAAATGTTCATACAGTACGTTCAGAGAGAAAGCGCTTCTAAGCTTTTGGCTTCTGTGCACAGTCAAACTGATTTGTCTTTCTCTGCATTCCAAGTTCATGGTGACTGTGATTATTGCTGCCTCCATGAACCGAAAATCATACGAAATCAGTGCAGCAACTTTTTTGTACCTGAAGCTTCCCGTTATGGGCATAAGATGCATTTTCCGAGACCATTAAACTAACCAACGATTCCGCTCTCGACTTTGGAATGAGCGAGATCTCGAATCAGACGAGAATAACCAGTTAAATAACGTGAATAGTTCGCAGCATGTCCGTCTTTAGAGAAGGGGTTTTTATTCCTATTCCTTAGCTCTCTTGAAAGAAGGGTTCCAAGACCCTTCATCGCTGGCTCACTCTTCCGTATGCGGCCGGGCTTTCAAAGAAATGTAAGGCCAGGCATAAAGTACTGAATTTCCAATACTATGAGATCTGCCGCCTCACAACTGATTACCATCCGATTGTATGATTACAGTGCAGCATATATAGTTGGGAGACCTAATGAAACTGAGTCGCGCTGGCTCCCAGAATTGCTGCTGTCGTTTTAAGTCAAAGTGATGCACTTGACTATTGACTCAATGTACGCAAAAGGAACTACTTGCATCAGTCAGCTTTCAAGAGTTAGCCCTTTTGTAATTATGTGTTCATTTGTGAATACATTGAATCGTGAGGATCGAAAGAAAAATGGTTTCTCTATATGTGTGATTGATGGAGGTCAGAAGTCGCAGAAGATTATGTGCGTTCCAATTTTCTACTCTGCTGATCACTGCGCATACGACACTATTCGCTAACTTTGATCATCTTCTCCTATCTCAGGGCGGTTTTTAGACTAAACTAATTGTTGATTCTACTGGCCCTAAGTCCGCTCACGTCACTTACGTCGCTCATTGCGTGAATTTGCAACACACAGGAGAGGTGATTGTGCCAAGTGACTTTCCAGATGAGGAATCGGAATCTGCCTGAAAACTGTGGGATGCTACATTAATATTTCTAGCAAAGCGAATGGCTAAGGAAAGTGTTTGTTTTAGTATCACCCCTAGAGCCCGATGCTGACAGCAACGCTTTCTCGGAAAGGTGAGGTCCAGCAAAGAAAGGTCAACGACGTGAAATGATCTTGAAGCAGAGAGCTAGATGGCAAGAATTGGAATTGGAGAACATTTTAAATTGCTATTAGATCCCAACTGCTGGCGAATCTCTCCAATCTGACATCTGCCTACGAATCACTCTTGATGGAATTCTTTGAAGTTCACAGCTGCAATCTTCCAAAGTTTAGATCTCAAAGATGAAATTGAAAGCATAATACATAGGACCAGCTCTCGTTGTCGGGATATTTATATAACTATGTATGAAACGATATATAAATGTTTTTGGAATCGGAGCAATTTGGAACTGCTGCAAATTCCTTCTCAGCAGTTCGAGAGGTCTGCTTACAGAATCATGCAGATAGAAAGTGGTTTCACATATGCTCGTTTAAAATTGAATCTTGTTTAAGACATCAGCAGAAGGGAGGTCGTACCAGCAGAAGACTGTTGCAGCCTTTTCCTGCCTGTAATAGTGCTCTTCTGTTGGTCAGCTTCAAAGAGAACATAAGCTACAAGTCAGACTAAGTACCAAATCCTTCGAGTGACGTTATGTGCATATGATTGTGACCATCCGAATCGCCTTCCTCCATTCGTCATTTCTGAAAGTATTCAAATTGATTTCTTCTCTGGCCCGTGCTTTCGTACTGCGGTAAGTGATGACAACACTGTGGGCAAACCGTCGTATGAACAGCGCTTTTCTCCAAGACAAAACCTCGTACATATATTAGGTTGATAAGAGAGTAATTATTATTTGGAGCATCTAACAAGAAACTTTTTTATCCTCTCGGAACGAACCTTAGTCTGAGATGCACCCAAATCTAAGATTATTTTTTGCCATCCTTCTGCTAATTTCACAACTATTCTCCCGTTGAACTTCCTGTTCTTTGGCCAAAAAACTGTGTCACAAAATGGCATACATGTCTTCGGTTAAAGTTTTCCCATGAAGGAGTCCTGCAACAACTGCAGAACGTGAAATTTGGATGGAGATCAGAGATGTATGGTTGATGCAGCATTAACTTTCAGCCAGGCTTCGATAATTTTTGCCAAGTCACCAAAAACGTGTGCCATCTGACCGAGTCATAACATAACATTACTCCTTTGCGAATCGCTGATTTCGGAGGGCTTTTTCAATTGCTCCATCAAACTCTAATAAAAATAGGTCCAGGTTAAGACTGGGATTCCTGACAAGCGCATCAATCTTATCACACCCTTGCAATAATCCTACCGAATTGGTAGCCTCTTTCTGCTCTTCACTTTTTGAAAGGTTTCAAAATCATGGTTTCAATTCATAACGAAAGCCATATTTCCCATAGCAGGTTCAATTTCCATTGAATTGTTTCTTTGAGAGGTAAATAGATGACAGTTCGAGTGTCCGGAAAGGGCAAGTAGTGTGTACTCTAGGCAATTATGGTGAAAACGAGGGTGGCATCATACCGCACGTCATCAAGAAGACGAAGACCACAACGCTCCACATTGAAAAAGCGGGGAAACCTACTTCAAAACCTTGCCAAAGAGTCAAAGTTGAGCCGTATCTCTGTTTTCTTTCAATCTACCAATGATAAGTATTAATGTCTCCGGACATTGATCAATATCGTATGAGAGACGCGCTCCTCATTCGACTTCCATTCAGAATTGTAGAGACGTATTGGACGCGTATGTGGCCTATACAATGACTTGCAGTGGCCAACTGATGTACAAATCACTGTCTTTATCCCCGCAGACGAGTTTGTTACCAATTAATCGGGGTTGGAAGAAAAAATGGAAGGTTAGGTTGGATTAAGCGGGTTTCGATCCGGGATATAGCCATTGACCTTGCATGTAAATAGTGCTCCGCCTATACTCTCAAGCGACAAAAATCAGAATAGCTGCCGCTTTAAATTCAGTCAGTCCCGGTGAACTTCATGCAGACAACCTTGTCCCTTGATCGACCTCAGCGGCATCAGTTCATTTTTTGAATCTCGGATCACGCAACACCCCTTCTGCCCTAAGTCAAAGCGCTAAGAACGAAGGAAGTGGACTATACCTTGCAGACACATGATACGTTATGCTGAAGAACTCAGAGCATCAAAAAACGGACTCCTGAAAGTAGCCCCGGCTCATTCATATCGCTCAATGATGTCAGCAATCTTTTTCAAGCATGAAATAAGTAAAACATGCATTTTCTAGTTTCCCACTATCCTAGTTTCCAACTTACCGGCTTATTTCTTAGAATTATTAGGTTGATGCGTTGATGCACATATTGCGGCTTTCTTTCGCGACTTCTTTTCCCTCGGTACAACTTGAATATTGAATTCGGGATACTTATAGAAATAATCTTCTACCTTTCCTCAACAGAAATTCTTCTAAAAATTCATCTTCATATAGCCGAAGCCATGTAAGGAATGGGATCTGCTCCTAAATCCGTCATATTCGGCCACGGAATTGCGGATTTGTGGATTATTGCGACAATTTTTCGTTGAAAGGTTGGCTAGCGAAAAGAAATTATAACGAGTGGATGACTTGTGATGGTCAATGTCGACACGTGGATCACCTTTGAGATTCGAAGCTTATTCACACAAGGGGTCGACCGTCTGCCTGGATGAGGAGCAGTGTTCGACATGTCTTTGTTCAGTTTTTTATCAGTTTCTGAATAGAATTTATTGAAAAGCGTCCTCAATAATTAGGCATGAGCCTAGCCCTCGCAATACGTGGAATTGGATTTTTGATTCTTCGATTTTCGTCATTATCCACTACTGATTAGGGAGCTTTATTGTGAATACGTGTTGATGCTCTTGTCAGTTCTATACTTCATACAGCATATCTTTTGAGTTTACAGATGATATATTAGACGCACTTTCTTTGATTACACTACGTTTAGTCACTTTTAGCCGTCAGTTCATTTCAAGAAGCAATTACTCAGGAAAAGTTTTACTTCGACCCACACTCTCACTGATTTCCCAATAGTCTTCTCCCAAGGCGCTCTCCACTATGAGCCGAGTTGGTCAACTGTTTATATGGATTAATTCAATTAGTTGATTCATTTCTTTGCAGCTGTGGTCCTGTGGGGATTCAAGATTCACTCATGAAAAGCCAAAAAAAACTACTTTTGGAGACACTCTAACTTGGGGCAGCCTTCACCACTTAGTATACGGAGGACCCCGCACTTGCACTGGTAGCTCCCGCTCATTTATTGCTAATGGTTCTGAAAGAGGGGTCGATAATATTAATTTCAAGAAGTGGATGTTATAAATAAAAGTTGCTGAGAGACGGATGAGCAGATCAGCGGTCTACTGGTGAATGAGGGATAAGGGATAAAGTCTTTTGGCGTTAATCAATCCCGTCTGAGAGATGCGCCCCCGCACTCGAATTCCATTCAAAATCACAGCGGCATAATGAGTGCGAATATGGTCTATACAATGACTTGCGGTGGCCAGTCGATGTATGTGCAGACAGTTCTTTCATCCTCCCAGACGAATCTGGT